TAATGACGGCCTGTAATTATCCCTGAGCTGGAGAAGAACGCTCACTGTGAGAGGTTTCTCTGGGAATAGCAGATGAGTGTCATTTTTCCTCATTTTGGAGTCTGGAAAGACCTAAAATAAGACCAACTAACAACGGTTTCCACCACCAACTCCATCCAGCTTATATGCAACTTCACTGTGTGATTTCTGAGTCAAACCTTTTCCTTAACCTCCTGAGACCCTGTGTCCTCATAAGAGGACGTTGCATTTTTGTCTCTCTTTACCATGATACTTCTTTTTTTCTTTCAGCTTTGACCTCTTGGCCTCATAGCAGATGCTATCAGACACTGTTTGAAATCTAAAGTAAAATGGTTTTATACATTTCCATCCAATCATGTTCTTATTGTGTAATAGAAAAACTGTAAATGAGTCAATGGGGCTGTCAGAACAAAATTGTAAAAACATTTAATTAAATATGTATCTCATATATCTTTAAAAAAAAAGCTAAAATGCATGCCAAATAAAAGCTCGGGTCTCAGGAGGTTAATACTCTGCATTAAGAGTTTTACTAAAATAACAAATGTTAGATGTGCTGTATCCTGTGAGAACGAATAAATCCCCATCTTCTGGAGATGAACAACGCCGAATGTGAGAGGTTTCTCTGGGAATAGCCGATGAGTGTCATTTTTCCTCATTTTGGAATCTGGAAAGACCTAAAATAAGTACAACTAACAACTGTTTCCACCACCAACTCCTTCCAGCTTAAATGCAACTTCACTGTGTGATTTCTGTGTCAAACCTTTTTCTGAATACTCTGCATTCAGAGTTTTACTAAAATAAATAATGTTAGATGTGCTGTATCCTGTGAGAACGAATAAATCCCCATCTTCTGGAGAAGAACGCTCACTGTGAGAGGTTTCTCTGGGAATAGCAGATGAGTGTCGTTTTTCCTCATTTTGGAGTCTGGAAAGACCTAAAATAAGTACAACTAACAACTGTTTCCACCACCAACTCCTTCCAGCTTATATGCAACTTCACTGTGTGATTTCTGAGTCAAACCTTTTACTTAATACTCTGCATTCAGAGTTTTTACTAAAATAAATAATGTTAGATGTGCTGTATCCTGTGAGAGTGAATAAATCCCCATCTTCTGATATTTCTAGTTTGAAAAACACAGTTTCCAGGCAACTATCAAAGGAGTGAAGATCACTTGTAACTTGAAAAATTCAACGTTTGGAGAAGAAATTTTAAGCACATACTAACTAAGTTACAAGATGTCTCATCTTACTGTTAAAACGTGTTATATCTACAATTATGGAAATATAAATATCTAAAAGGGAACTTGCTTGGTTTGGGCATTGAAAACTACCAGATCAGGGTAAGAAAACATCACTTTTATAGTCAATCTGCTAAAGACACAAAACTAAATTGCCTTAAAAATCATGATAAGATAAAAGCACAATATCTTCCACCAACATGCAACAAAACAAAGCCTGCTCACGTTTCAGTCCTCCTCCAGATTGGAGCAACAGTTTGTTTCTAACCCTTTTAAGCCTGATCCAAGAATAAAACAGAACAGAAAATGACTTTTTCTTTTGTTTGAATTCATTATTTGGCCTTTGAGCAAAATATGTGAAAAGATAAAACAGAAAAACATTTCTAACATTAATAATTTATTACTATTATTCAGACGGATTATGGTACAGTACATCCCATCCCACATTTTACACATGAAATTTAAAATTGGTTTTAGTCTACCACACAGTTCAAGTTCATTTAACCCTTTAAAGCCCGATCCAAGAATAAAACAAAACAGAAAATGACTTCTTTTTTTTTTATTCCTTATTTGGCCTTTTAACGAAATATGTAAAAAGAAAAAACAGAAATACATTTTTGATATTAATAATTTATTACTATGCGATAAGTCCAGATTATGTTTTGTGTATTCTTCTGCCCCCTGTTATCAGGTGTATCTGATTGTGTTCAATAGGATTTTGAGCAAAGTTTTTACCATTAAATTATGCAAAAGGAGTCAGACACAAAACATTTCAGAAACCGTACGTATCAAATATGACACATTTGGCATTACAGGGTTAAATTAGTCATGTTTGGCTGAGGGAAACCATCTGTGAAAGAACAGTTCCTCTGCAATGGGAAAAGTCCCAAGACCCTTTATGGGGTTGTTTAACTCTGACAAAGGGCTGATGATTTCCCCTCAGAATCCCTCACTGTGCAAAATTACCGACACAGAAGCAGCGGGTTGATTCGGGTAATCATCCCGATCCGAGCGGAGTTAGCAAACAGAGTCACAAACAGAGCTAATGAGCAGCGAGCACAAGCAGAGCTCGTTACCTGCAGCTCATAATTGAACAGCGGATGGTGGCTGGGAGTGTTTTCCCCCCTGAGTCCGGAGGCTGGAGCGGGGTGGAAATTCACTCATTTTCTCCTTCGGTTTTACTCGATTAGGACAAATATTCAAAAAGGATGAAAAACTCTGACATTTTCACATATAAGAGAGACGTTTCCAAAGCTATCGAGGCCTTTTGATGTTGATTTAACCCTATAATGCCAAATGTGTCATATTTGATCTGGTTTCTGAAGTCTTTTGAAGTCTTTCTGCATCATTCAGTGGTAAAAGCTTTGCTCAAACCCCTGTTGTACACATTCAGATATACCTGATAACAGCCAGTAGAAGAC